ACAAGAAATATGAAATAATGCTTCATAGCCAACTTTACACAATGAAATAGGTGACAACATACAAATTTTTGAAAGTACAAAATCTCTGGAATACTAATGATAGTTGTATAGGTATAAAGCTATGAGCAGGCTAGCTGTTTTATAAAGAATAGGTCAGAAAGTGAAACGTTTCGCTATGGTAATGTGCCCCTGGCTTCACAGTCAGCAATACCATGGTAAACAACCTAAATCCTTTGGGGAGATGGATCAAAACTGTGGGGGTCCTGCTGCATATGCAAGTTGCCAGAGAGCCGAGATCTTGAGGCATTTTCTCTTTCACACATGCAGATGTGTGCAAAGGAACTCTCTTTGTTTACTGAGGAAGTGTCCGTGGTTTTACATGTATACACAAAACTTACACACGAACTCTGTGTTGTGGTAGTGCTCTTTTGTGTAGTGAAATTCGCAAAGAAATTCATACAAGAAATTAAAACTCTTTGTCTTTATATAAATTATGCCTTCAATACTGGACATGATGTGACTATGAAGTACACAATATAGAGACTTGTAAAAAGTGGTAACAATGTTAAGTGGAAGGGGCTGGTGAGATGGCTCAGTGGTCTAAAGCACCTACTTAGAACAAGCTTAGCAAAGCACAGGAACCGCGGTTCAATCCCCCAGCACCACATGCCAGCCAGCCCGCCCCCGTGGTGGGCTGAGCTGGACACACACACACACAAATAAATAAAAATTTTAAAAGAAAAAAAATATTAAGTGGAAGACACAACTTTTTTTTTTTTTTGTGAAACTAGGGATTGAACTCAGGTCCTTGCTCTTGCAAGGCAAGCACTTATTCTACTGAGCCGTCTTCCCAGCTCCCTAACACAACTTTTTAAAAAGAAAGAAAAAAAAAACTAAAAAAGAAAATTTGATGTGAAAAATGTCTTACGCCAATAGATTATGGACAGTTATGGAAGTCGATAAAAAGCTTGCCAACTGCTAGTGTTCTGAGACTTGGAGGTTCTCCCAGGGATCAGCCATGATCTGGATTTGTCCATCCCCTGAACCTGAGCATGCTCAGAGGAGGGTAAAGGCTGTTGAGCTAAAGTTTGAAGCCACAGCATTGTGTGTTTTTATCTATAGCTAAACATTGAGAAAGTAGAAAAAAAAAAAAAAACCTCCCTTGCTTTTCAGGTAGTGCCCGGCAGCCTGTCTCCATGCCTGTGAACGCCCACCTTCCTGCCCAATAGTAGAAGCAGCTCTTCCCTGCTTTGAGTTCACGGCAATTGCCTCCGCATGCACACATGCGCAGATCACCACTTGAACAAGAATAGCGCTGGGCACCAAGCAGCAGTGCTGGGGGATCTTATGCTACCTGCATGATTAGTTTCAAAGCATTCGGCAACTTTGCTGGGTTCTGCAGGCAAATGTGGCTTTCATTTCATTTTAATGGCTCCTGAAATTTCATGAGCTAGAAGGAATGTCAATGTAGAAAAATGACACATTTTTACACTGAAATTTCTATCATTGCCATTGAAAAAAGTCTTTATGGGTAATACCTTGAAATTCACTTTGAAAAGCCTTCCCACGTCGAATTCCAATCTGTCACTACAGCTCAGGGATTCAATTGAAATGGATTTTCTTCTGCAAAGTCCATTAGATCTTGAAATAAAAATGCACAGCATGATCTGCTTTTTCCAGTTATGCACACTGAGCAGATCAGTGCTAGATTTCAGGGATCCAACATAGATGTGAGTCACACGTATTCGGTAAAGACAGTGAAGACAGTTTTGAAAGTTCCAAAGTGAAGCAAGTGCCATTTTTGTGTTAAATTATGTGGTAAATACCAGAAGTCTACCTGTCATAGTCAAATCCTACCCAAAGAATTGCTCACCATTTGATGTGTCAGCAGCTCTGGAGGAGCTGGCCAGCAAGTGTCCTTGGTTCAGAGGCTGCCAAATTCCTTGAACTTTTAATTCTCTGATGAAAGGCCATTTTTTAAGCACTGTGTGCTGTCGTGAAGGCGCAGAGGCGCGATGTGCGGGCATGGCATGCGCTTACCCTGCGTGCAGCCAGATCAGTACTGCTTCCTTCTCCATCATCTGGCTGTCTACCCCTCTTCTGTGCCTTACCCAGCACTTGAGATTCTGGCTTTCAAAACTTCAGTATCTGGGATTTTAATCTCTGGGATCATGTGTTTTAAGCATTCGATCTTTAAACGTCTAGGTGTTAGGAATTTTGAGCTTTTGAGATTTCACCACTTAAGACTGTGAAGTTTGGGGTTTTGATCAGCACTGCTCTCAGGGGAGTCACCCTGAGGCACTAGTGGTGACGTGGCCTGACTGAGAAAGATGTAGGTAGGTACAGCTAAGGTTAGGCAAACTAGAAAAGCATGGTGTGTGCAGAGGGAGCAGGAACACTGAGGACGTGGGGACAGAGGGAGGTGAGCCTGGAGGGCTGGGAACATGGAACGGTTATGCTCTGACCCGCTCCTTTTAGGTTAAAAACCATTAGAGCTTTACATGGAGTTCTCAGCCTCATACCTGAAGAAAGTCTAGGCTGTGAGGGTGAAAAGGGAGAGGGACAGCACCCAGCATTGGAAGGTGTTGGGGGCTGAGTGTGATGAGAAGAGGGCTGTTAGAAGGTCTGGAACTAGGCCAGTCCCTTGGGCTGAAGGGATTTATATTCTAGTCAGTTCCCAGTTCTTAAGATTTTTGTCCTTAGGCCCTAAGGTCGGCTGTGTGCTTCAGTGAACTGGAGGTGGTGACAGTGGCTCGGGCTAGACAGGCCCTGATTAACAGAGGAACAGAGTCTCAGATTAACCCAGAGCTGCCCTTGTTAGAATTTCAGTTCAGGGACACCACCCTGGGACCCTGAGGTAAAGATTGCAGCTCACACATGGGGTGGGGGCAGTTCCTAGACAGTTGGTGGGCAGCAGGGTTTATTCTCAGAAATGACTGATTTTGAGTCAGATTCAAGAGCTGTCATAGTTGCTGCTTAAGTTGGGAAAACAAGCACTTCTAGGCCCACTTGTGGAAGCATCTTAAAAGGGCAGAAGTGGGTGGGGAGTAGGTTGGCTTCATAATTGTATGATCTGGCCAGTAGGGTCCAGAACCACCGCCAAGCTTTGCATATCCTGGGTGTGCACACACCAAGTCACCCAATCAAAGCTACATGTGGATCTGCTCATGAGGTGGCCCAGCACAGCACATGGTTTATAAGAAAGACAACTGTTGCGTGGCTGGTGAGCCTTGTGTTTTTCCTCCAAGGTGTATTACTAAGTTTTTAAAAATAAACATGGTTAGAGGTCTTTGATTTCCTTCACATTTTCCCATGAAGCGGGAGGCCCCAGAGAGAGGGGAAGAAGGCAGCAGGTTTTGGTTCAAAGGGATGACAGAGACAGTGACAGCACGAGGCAGGCTTTGAGCCAAAGCTGATATAGTGACCTCCAAATGATATAGGGGGAAAATGAAATTCCTGACCTTAAAGGTACCTGGGATGAGTTCATGTTCTCTAAGATCGAAGAATGAATTTTAGGAACAAATGGAAGTTATAAGCAAAATAACTTTATTGGGGGAAAGAAAGCTTCTCTCCAAGACAGGGACAGAAGGGGGGCCCCAAACAGGTGGTCCCCAGGAAGCTCTCTCTTTTTTTTTTTTTTTTTTTTTTTTTGTGGAACCAGGGATTGAACTCAGACCCTTGCACTTGCCAGACAAGTGCTTATTCTACTGAGCCATCTCCCCGGCCCTGGAAGCTCTCTCTTCCAGGGACTTTTCTGGAGGACAACCATGCGGTGAGGTGGGCCTAAGCTGGTAGAGAACATGGGAACTCAGGTGGGCATGAGGTGGGACAAAGCTATGGTCAACCAATGAGATTACAAGCACCATTGCTCAGGTAAAATTGATTAAATCGGGGGCCAGGGAGATAGCTTAGTAGAATAAGTGTTTGCCTGGTAAGTGCAAGGGCCTGAGTTCAATCTCCAGTTCAGCAAAAACAAAACAAAACAAAATTGATTACATCAGAATCGAATGGGGAAGTGATTCACGTATCAAGGTGGTATGAATATGGAACAGGGTCTCTTTCTGTTGGGGGTTGGGCTAGTGACTCATTTGGCCTCTTTAAAGGTGATTGATACCTATGTAGAATACCAATCATGGATGCCTACTCCCAGGGACATAGGTGGCTACATTTGTTTAGTCTTTTGTCCTAAGGTCTGGCCCATCGTGGGGAGTGTCTGTCTCTTCCCAAAGTTGCAAAGTCACCTTGTCTTCCATATTGTGTCTTTGAGGGCCTGGCCCTGTCTGACTGCTTATAATATTTTTGTCTAATTCAGTTGCCTACAACAAAGTGAATGGGCAGATGCATGTGTGGCATTGTGCAAATTGTAAGGTTTCTTTCCCTTACCTATGCTTTTCCAGATGTCTTGTTTTGAATTTTCCTGGGTCTTCTTGGTAACTGACAGACTAGTCCAGTAAGGTGAAACTTATGGCTTAAGTGTAGATAATGAGGAGAAGTGAATATAATTGTAAAAATAAAAATAACTTTCTATTATTTATTTTGCTCTATGTATTTAGTACAG